GGGGACGATACAGACAAAAATGAGACAAACAAGAAAGGAGACAGAAAGGAGACAGAGAGAAAGGAGACAAAAAGGAGACAGAAAGAAAGGAGACAGAAAGGAGACAGAAAGAAAGGAGACAGAGAGAAAGGAGACAGAAATGATACAGAAAAAAGACAATAGAAAGGAGACAAACAGGAGACCAAAAGGAGACAGAAAAAAAGGAGACAAAAGAAAGGAGAGAGAAAGGAGACAGAAAGAAAGGTGACAGACAAAAAGGAGACAGAAAGGAGACAGAGAGAAAGGAGACAGAGAGAAAGGAGACAGAGAGAAAGGAGACAAAAAGGAGACAAAAAGGAGACAAAAAGGAGACAATAGAACGGAGACAGAAAGGAGACAGAAAGGAGACAAAAAGGAGACAGAAAGGAGACAAAAAGGAGACAAAAATGAGACAGAAAGGTGCGTATACACCGCAGCTGACCTCCTGTCTCTCCTCAAGCAAAGAGTTGACCTCCAACACCCGCAGCTTCCAGTGCGGCGCATGCAGCCTCTCACGCATGTCTGCAGCAGCAGCAGCAGCAGCAGCAGCAGCAGCAGCAGCAGGAGTGGGAGAGAGAGTAACAGCAGAACATGCGGGAGACAGGATGTGGTGCTTTTTTATAGTGGTCGAGGGTTTAGGGTTTAGGGTTTAGGGTTTAGAAAGGACAAAGACACTGCAGCAGCAGCAGCAGCAGCAGCAGCAGCAGCAGCAGCAGCAGTGACAGCAGCAGCAGCAGCAGCGACAGCAGCAATTTACACACAGCGAGAGACAGAAGAAGAGACAGCAACAGCAGCAAGAAGAGACAAAGAAAGTAAATAAATAAATAAATAAATAAACAAAACAGAAAACTAAATAAATAAATAAATAAATAAACTAAACAAAAAAAATAAATAAACAAACTAAACAAAAAAATAAATAAATAAATAAATAAATGAATAAAAAAATAAATAAATAAATAAATAACAAACAAATAAATAAATGACGAAATAAACAAAACAAATAAATAAATAAATAAACAAAACATACAACGAACTAAATAAACAAACAAACTAAACAAAAAATAAAAAATAAACAAACTAAACAAAAAAAAAAATAAATAAATAAATAAATAAATAAACAACCTGAGCAACTAAATAAATAAATAAATAAACCAACAAACAAAAAATAAATAAATAAATAAATAAATAAATAAATAAACAAACAAACTAAACAAAAAAAATAAATAAAAAAATAAAAAAATAAACAAAGTGAAAATACCTAAAAGTATATCTGTTTTTTCATCGAGAGCAGCAAAAGAAGGAGACAGTTCGTTGTAAGCATATAAACCCAAGACAGGGCTGCGGGCCCCCAGCTGCTGCAGCTGCTGCAGCTGCTGCTGCTTCGCTTTTATATACAGCAGCAATCTCTCGCAGTCTCCATCGACAGAGCTTATATACACCACACACACACACACATACACATGCATGCAGCAGCAGCAGCAGCAGCAGATGCAGCTGTGCGGCTGCTGCAGTAGCTGCTGCAGCAACAACACCAACTGCTGCAGCAGCAACAGCAGCAACAGCAGCAGCTGCTGAATCAACGGTGAGACTATCAGATCACTCCAGCAGCAAAAACCCTTTCCTTTAATCCTTGTAATCTATACACATTAGGGTTTAGGGTTTAGGGTTTAGGGTTTAGGGTTTAGGGTTTAGGGTTTACGCGAGGGTTTGTGAGCTTTTGTTTTTTTCAAGTTCCATTTCTCTGTCTACAGCTTCGCACCGCATCTCTAGGGCCCTCACAACAGACTGCAGCAGCAGCAGCAGCAGCAGCAGCAGCAGCAGCAGCAGCAGCAGAAGCAGCAGCAGCAGCAGCAGCAGCACAGCAGCAGCAGGTGGAAGTGATGCAAGCAGTCGCAGCAGCTGTAGCAACAGCAAGTGGTAGCAGCAACTGCTGCAGCAGCAACAGCAGCAACAGCAAGATGTAGAGGCAACGGCAGCAGCAGCAGCAGCAGCAGCAGCAACAGCAACTACAGTATCAGAAGCCGCAGCAGCAACAACTCAGCAGCAGCAACAACTACAGACGCAACAGCAACAACAACAACAACAATAGCAGCAGCAGCAACAGCAGCAGCAGCAGCAACAGCAACAGCAGCAGCAGCAGCAGCAACAGCAGCAACAGCAGCAGCAGCAGTATACCTCGAAAGCATCGTTGATGTGGGCGGCGTTTGCTGTGTGCATTCTCGTCGCCTTGCGCTGAGGTGTACAGACACCGCAACACAACACTTGCAGCAGCAGCAGCAGCAGCAGCAGCAGCAGCAGCAGAATAGCAGCAGCAGCAGCAGAATAGCAGCAGCAGCAGCAACAACAGTAGCAGCAGCAGCAGCAGCAGCAGCAGGGTAAGAGAAGCAGCAGCAGCAGGAGGAGACGAACAGCAACAGCAGGACAGAAGAGAAGCAACAGTAGCAGCAGCAGCAGCAGCAACAGAAGCAGCAGCAACAGAAGCAACAGCAGCAACAGCAGCAGCAGCAGCAGCAGCAGCAGCAGCACCTGTATTGTCTTTAAGGATGCAGCTACCGCTTCGAGTTCCTTCGCCTGGTGCTTCAGCTCAGCATACTGCTGCATCATCTGCAGCAGCAAACACTAAACCCTCACGAGGGTTTAGGGTTTAGGGTTTAGGGTTTAATACAGCACAGAAGAACTAGGGTTTAGGGTTTAGGGTTTAGGGTTTAGCACAGCAACAAAAAAACTAGGGTTTAGAGTATCGCATAGAGTTTTCAACAGCAAAAGAAAAAAGGGTTTAGGGTTTATACTCTCCAGCACCAAAAGAAAAACCTAGGGTTTACAGTCTAGGGTTTACAGTTTAGGGTGTAGGGTTTACAGTCTAGGGTTTAGGGTTTAGGGTTTACAGTCTAGGGTTTACGGTCTAGGGTTTACAGTCTAGGGTTTAGGGTTTAGTCTAGGGTTTAGGGTTTAGGGTTTGAAGTCTAGGGTTTAGGGTTTAGGGTTTAGTGTTTACAGTGTAGGGTTTAGGGTTTACAGTTTAGGGTTTAGGGTTTACAGTCTAGGGTTTAGGGTTTAGGGTTTAGGGTTTAGGGTTTAGGGTTTGTGACCTGCATCCTAGCAGCTGGTATAGCATTGCGTATATTAAGGAGATTGTGGTTGCTGTGTAAACCCTCGGCGTAACACTCCCCACACAACAACACACACCTGCAGACAAAGACAAAGATATATATATATATATATATATATATATATATATATATATATATATATATATATATATATATAT